CTTCCCATCAGCCCTGCCCTTGTGCACAAGCCTTAAGACCTCCACAGCTCCCCTGAGTTTCCACCTGACTGCTCAAATTTCCCATGCAAGAGCGTGGGTGCCCCAGGAGCTTGCCTGGAATTGGGTTGGGTCTCTGTAGTCTGGAGCTTCTGACTCCTTCTGCTATGGAGAGGCTGCGGAAACCTCCACAGTCAGATCTCTCTGTGCTCACTCACTCGCATGCAACTGTAGACCCTGCCCAGTGTGGCTCCTGGTCTCTGAGTCTCCGGGTGCCTTTCTCTACAGTCCGGGCTCCACCGGTATGAGGCTGGGTCCATGGGGTTTTTGGCCGGGATTGGAGTTCAATTCAGTCAGAAAGGGTTCAGTGCAATCAGGGACTTCCTTTCCCCTCTCACCATCCAGGCATTCAGCTGTCCTTCCTCTCTGCACACAAGCGTCTCCCTACCTCAGCGCTTTGTGGCTCCCAATCTGATCCGTGAACTTCTCTCCTTCTTTCTAGTTGTAGATTTTCCACTACGCCAGCTTTCCTGTGGTTTTGGATGATGTCGTTCTTTTAGTTGTTGTTTTGAAATTGTTGTGCAAGGCTGCAGCTTAGGTGCTTACCTAGGCTGCTATCTTGGTTTCTCCTCACCCTCTCCAATCTTGGACCCTCAAGGGATATCTGACTTCCCATTTAGGCCAGATCCCATTAGGACATCCCTCTCACAATCCAGGACTGCTGGCTCGCCTGCCTGCCTGCCTGATTACCCTTAACTACTTCTACCTGCCAGCCTGATCACCTCCTAACAACTCCCCTGTCAGCCTGATCGATGTCTAACTGCTCCCCTGACAGCCCGATTGCCCCTAACTGTCCTCCCCTACAGGCCTGGTCACCCCTAATGGCCCTCCCCTGCTGGCCCAGTCACCCCTAACTTCCCTCCATTGCCAGACTGGTCGCCCCAATTGCCCTCCCCTGCTGGCCCAATTGCCCCTAACTGTTCTCCCCTGCAGGCCTGGCCACCCCCAACTGCCCTCCCCTGCTGGCCCAGTCACCCCTAACTGCCCTCCCCTGCCAGCCTGGTCGCCCCCAACTGCCCTTCCCTGCATGCTTGGTCCCCCACAACTGCCATCCCCTGCAGGCCTGATCGCCCACAACTGCCCTCCCCCACTGGCCATCCTGTGGTGGCCATCTTTTGTCCACATGAGGGTGGCCATCTTGTGTGTTGAAGTGCTGGTCAATTTGAATATTACATCTTTATTATATAGGATATGCATAGCCCAAGATGGCAGCATACAAACAACAGTGTGTTGAAGGCTTGGGAGGAGATGATGTGGGATGGAAAGGGTCAATGGGAAAAAAATGGACATTTGTAATACTTTCAGCAATATAAAATTTTAAAAACAATATTTAAAGAATAGAGGGGTGGGTTTCATCCTGGTAGCTGTGTGTTTAGATTTGAGCTTTACAATCCTTTTACAAAGTAAGGATGACTCCCCTACTTTCTTATATGAGGAAATTGAGGCTCAGAGAGTTTATATGACTTGCACAAGAACACACAGTAGGTTAAACTCATGGTTTTGGACTCTTAACTCACTCCACTGATTCATGCTGTTTTATATAATTAACTATCCTTTGTAATTCGATTTTATGATCAGGGATCATTCCTATCATATCCTTATACTTGACCTTATGACTAATGGGATGCTTGAAAACTCATTCAGCCCTCTGAGGCGTCAGAAAGAGCAGGCAAAGGGGAAATTTTATTTTTTTGAAAGTGATTTTTTAAATATATTTTTATTAATTTCAGAGAGGAAGAGAGATAGAGACATCAATGATGAGAATCATTGACTGGTGCCTCCTGAGAGATCCAACCCACAACTCAGGCATGTGCCCTGACTGGAAATTGAAACATGAACTCCTGGTTCATAGGTCAATGTTCAACCTCAGAGCCACGCTAGCTAGGCCTAATTTTAATGACATATCTCTGTAGCCCTGTTCCCTTGTCACAAAGATATAATTCTCTATCATTGCTTGTTATCCTTAAATTACAAAAAAAAAGGAGATTCAGTTGATGCTTTTAATTTAGCTTCAAGATCATGTACATCAGGCATGTCAAACTCTCGGCCCACAATGAATATTTTTGTGGCTCAGCTAATCTTCAGTATGTAAGAAACGTTTTAATAAAAATTTCATAACTTAATTTTTACAATATCCTGTTGTACATAATTATTAATAACGAACTACAACATTCGCTAAAGAGTGATTACTATAATCGTGTTGCAGTCATTTCCTTTATGCTCCTCACACATAGACGCACCATTTCTCTCCACTAATACTAGCAGCTAATATTTTAGCAGCTGATTGCCATGTCATTAGTTCTGGACTGACTTGTTCAGTGTGCGCAACAGGAAATATTTTGCTTTTGGGAAACAAGAAAAATAGGTTTATTTGCGTTATATTTATTATTTTGTGTAGTTATTCAGTGTCTGGTAAATTAATGTTTAAGAAAAAATATTAATTTTTATTAAAATGTTCTATTATTTTGTCAACGATTACTCATTTATTTAAGCCCTTTGTATTCAGCATATCTCTATTGAAAATAAGCCTATGTTTCTATGAAAATAGAAGCTTTTGGGTTTTGTTTTGTTTTTTTGACCCACATAAACTTAAAACTTGTTTATTTGGTCTGTGTTAGCCTTTGAGTTTCACATTTTTGGAAACTAGTAAAGGTTTTGAAAGTTGACAATGATTATAACACACCAACTCAGAGCTAAAGGAAGCTGTAGGCTGAGGTTAGGAATAAAGGGAGTTTGAGACTGCCTTATTTTAGCATAGTGGTTACCCACCTGTGTGGTCCAGCCTTGGATTACTGGGTCTATGTGTAGTTGTATTATGTACTGTAAGGCAGGTTTCAAGCCTTTACAGATCAAACTAGATTCTATTGATCCATTCTAAGCTTGTCCTGCTTTTGTAATTAGATTAACCTGACAGCCCACTTTTAATGTATATTTCCACAAAATTTTCCTGAGGATGTGGAAGTCAGTGCATGGGAGCCACTCCATTCTTTTGGCCAGACTGAGCCTGATGGTAAAAGGAACCCAGGCTATGAAAGAGGCTTGGAGCAACATTTTCCCACTCTTTGTAGATGAACTCTTCTCTTGTGAACTTGATGCCAGGGGCACCCAACATATTAGAACCCAAATGTATTTACAGCCTATGTATGTGGATGATTATTATGGGAGGGAAAAGTACAATGAGATGGTTATTTTTTGCAAAGTAATTCAACAAGATCTGTATTTTTTAGCCTGAAGCTTCCAGATGGACAGAGCTATGTTGGAAATCCTTAAGGACAGCCTTCTACATCCCTACCAAAAAGTCCAGTTTATCATGCAGTGTGAAGAGTTAGGATTGGGAATGTGGCCATAGCCAAAGGCAAATCCTTGGCAGATAGCCTGCAGCTGAGAAATGAGTCATGTAAGGCGATTCAGTAGAATAGAAGTAGTTTACTCAAACCATATATTAATAAAAGTTAATGAGCATTTCTGACTCTGTCAAATTGTCTAAAAATCCAAATATAGGCCGATAGGAGGGAGAATTGGCCAGAAAGGGCCCCTGCTACTATAGAGGACATTTGTCTGGACAAGGACACTGGAGTCTTCTTTTACCAGACTCAGCCACACCACATGTCCCAGCATTAGGTGTGATCTCAGGGTAAGCTTAGGACAGTGCTGAGAGAAAGCACTAAAAGACTCCTCAGAGACCCTTATCAGACTTCATATTCCATAGACCCACAGGTTATTTAATCTGTCTCTCTGTTCTTTAACTTATGAAATATTTGACATTCGAATAGATATGAAAATTATGATGCACACCCATGTACTTACCATTCAATTTAAAAATATTTTTACAAATAGTCTTCCTCCTCCCCTTTTCTGCTTCTTCCGTTCTCCTCCTTCCTTGCCTCTCCCCATTCTCATCATTGTACTGAATTTCTCTTGTATTATTGTTGTATTTTTATAGTTTTTGTATATATCCTTAAACACGTGGCAGCTTTTGTATGTTTTTAAACCTTATATAAGTGAAATAGATATAGATGAAATAAACTACAGAAATTAAGGGAATGATGAGCATGGCATTTGAGATGGAGTTTACTTTGTCATCATAGATTTTGGATTGTGTGATGGGTTCACCAAAACTTAATACGTTATTTAAAGTAATTAAGTAGCCTTGGCCAGTGTGGCTCACTTGGTTGGGTGTTGTACTATGCTGGTTCAATTCCAAGTCAGGGCACATGCGCAGATTGTGAACTCAATCCCCAGTAGCGAGTGTGCAGGAGACAGATGATGCATGTTTCCCTCTTACATCAAGGTTTTTCTCTCTCTCCCTCTCCCTCTCCCTCCCTCTCCCTCTCCCTCTCCCTCTCCCTCTCCCTCTCCCTCTCCCTCTCCCTCTCCCTCTCCCTCTCCCTCTCCCTCTCCCTCTCCCTCTCCCTCTCCCTCCCCCTCTCCCTCTCCCTCTCCTTCCCCCTCTCTCTCTCTCCCCCTCGCTCCCTCCCTCCTTCTCTCTCACTTCCTCTCTCTCTAACAATCAATAAAGAATTTAAAAAGTAATTAAGTAAATAAATATAGAAATAAGAGCACTATTCATGGACTAATGATGAGTGTCTCATAGACTGAGTTAGGATTAATCTAAATCTTTGCACTCAAGAGCAAAACAACTATGATAATAACAGATAAGCAATATACTATTTGTATATATGTACTTCTATTTTTCTCATACAATAAGATTTGTAAGACTCATCCATGTCAATATGTGAAGTTCTTTATTAATTTTATCCCCATTTCTCCTGTCATACTAGGCCTTCTCCAAAAATCCCAACAACACTAATATAATGTGCCCAAATTTAGACTAAAACACCTCCCATTGGCAGTATTAGTATCCTAATATGCCTATGTGCCAACACTCCTGGTACCCACTCTCTACATACCTTTAACATAGTCTTCTCATCCTTCCCACCTAGGACCTGATTCGGAGAGACATCCTATACTACAAAGGCCGCATTGACATGGATAAATATGAGGTAATAGACATTGAAGATGGCAGAGATGATGACTTCAATGTCAGCATGAAGAATGCCTTTAAACTTCACAACAAGGAGACTGAGGAAGTGCACCTATTCTTTGCCAAGAAGCTGGAGGAGAAGATACGCTGGCTCAGGGCTTTCAGAGAAGAGAGGAAAATGGTACAGGAAGATGAAAAAATTGGTAAGTGACTTCAGAAGAGAACAAAGAATGTGGTTATGAAGAACATAGAGGATTTGAAATAGTTTTCATTTCTCTAGAGGCAGAAGGAAGATTTATATTGCAAACTGACTTAATCTACTTTGTTAGTTCCCTATTATTAGGTGCTTTTTGGTAGATACCAGTAGTTTCCATTAATTAGGATTATAGGTCAGCTTCCTCTACAGTCTCATTACTAGATAAAATTATTACATGGAAAGCAAACATCTGACTCAGTTCTTTCAAACATACAGACATTTGTCAGCAAACCAACATGAGAGCAGTTATATAGCCTATTCTGTAATTTCAATTCAGTCTTCAATTCTATTCTTATATACACGATGGAATCTTCTGTGAAAGGTTAGTCAAGGCAGATTTGGTAATATAGTGACAGGATTCATCTAACTTTCTAGTCAGAGTCTAATGACAGAATCCTTTCATGAAAGTTAAGTCATAACATCTGTTTTCAATTTTAAGCTTTAGGCTTTCTTCTGAAAGGCATAGGCTACAGGACTTACTGGATTCTTATACCCAGTACCTGTAAGACATTTGTGGTCACTGCACATCTTGTATAACATTCACTTTCCCAGTGAAAGTTCATTTTTAAAAAGATAAGTTTTTATTGATTTTTAGACAGGGAGGAAGGGAGAGGGAGAGAGAGAGAAACTTCAATGTAAGAGATAAACATCGATTGGGTGCTTTCTGCATATCCCCTACTGAGGATCAAGCCTGCAACATGGGCATGTACCCTGACCAGAAATGGAACCAGTGACCTTTTGGTGCATGGATGACTTTCAACCAACTAAGACAGACCAGCTATGGCTGAAAGTTCATTTTTAACATGTGTTAGGCTAATTAGGCCGCATATATTAAGATGACTGAATGGCTGGTAGTAGTGGCCTCTATAGGAAAGATTTCTGAGTGTTTAATATTGCTAAACATCACCTCTTGAGTGTACATTCCTGATTAGGGCGCTTTAAATATTAACTAAATGCTCATGGAATATAGATTAAAAATTAATTTAAATTAATGTAAATGTATATATCATGCCCTTGGTATGAAAATGTTTTAAAATAAATGAATAAATAGGGTCTAAAATCATAATTACTTGCATGATTTCCATTCACACTAAACCATACTCTTTTGTATGAGAGATTTTTCCTCTTTTCCACAAATGATATATCTGGGAGATAGAGATATATATATATATATATATATATATATATATATATATATATATATATATTATTTTTTTTTTATTCTGCTTCCCAAATGGGAAGTAGTTTTTGTTTACAAAATACTATCGGGTCGCTTGCCCATAGTTATACATTTCTAATATAAAAATATAAAAATCCAGGCTTTGTGATTCCTTAAAAAATAGTTTCTGTGTTTGCACCACTCCAAATGGGAGTAGAATTGTACTTTAAAACACTTCTATACTCAAGTTTGTAGAAGCTGCCTCTAGAAAAAAGAGCTTACCCACTGAGTTCTGGTACAATTGGATTCTTGTATCCTTCAGTGTAGGGAATTGAGATCCAAAAGCAAGGAAATATAACTAGAAAAACACTGCTTAGTCTTATCCTAGTCTTCTCAAATCTTTGTTAAAATGCATACTGATAATTCACTTTGAGTCATGTTGTTGTCAAATTGCTGTTAGCATATGCGCATTGATTTGGGGCATGATGTGGAGTGGTACAGAAATGCTACTGGCGTCTTCTCCCAATGGCAGGCAGTAGCAGCCTTTGACATTGCATAGGTTGTTAGGGCTACTAAAGGAATTTTCTTAGTGTGCTTTCTGAAGCCCCTAGATCAACTTGAATATCCTCTCCATTCTCTCTGGTTCAAACACGATGTCTCACACACAATGTCCTAATGACCTATAACTTTGAGAATCTGCCTCTAATAGAAAAGCTTACAGAAGTTCAATCCTGGTAGGCCTATGTATGTCATTTATTTATTTATTTATTTATTTATTTATTTATTATTTTTTAAAAAATATATTTTATTGATTTTGTACAGAGAGGAAGGGAGAGAGATAGAGAGTTAGAAACATCGATGAAAGAGAGTCATCGGTCAGCTGCCTCCTGCACACCCCCTACTGGGGATATGCCTGCAACCAAGATACATGCCCTTGACCGGAATCGAACCCAGGTCCCTTCAGTCCCCAAGCCAACGCTCTATCCATTGAGCTAAACCGGTCCTGGCCTATGTTTGTCTTTTTAAAAAGTAAGTGTTTTTTCTGATTATAACTAAATTACTTTCATTATAGACTTTCATTTGTAGACCAAATAATAATAATAAATAAATTAATTAATTAATTAATTTTAAAAAGAAGAAACTAAAAATCAGACATGAACATATGGAGCTAACTTTTATAAACATTTTAATATATTTTTCCATTTGAAAAACTAGCATGGCTGAATAGTTTTTTTCTATTTCTCCCTACTCCCCACCTCTCCTTAATGGTAGATATAATTGTACATCATTATTTTTCACTTAAAATTATATTATTATTATTTCCTTAAATCATTTACTATTTAATCATTATTCTTATTGCTGTCATATAGATTTACCATAATTTTATGTTTACTATTTTTATTTTTTAATTATAAAATATATACATGGACATAATGATCATTTATTTTTTAAAATATATTTTTTTATTGATTTCAGAGAAGAAGGGAGAAGGAGAGAGAGAGAGAAACATCAGTGATGAAAGAGAATCATGGATCGGCTGCCTCCTGCACACCCACTATTGGGGATCAAGCCTGCAACCCAGGCATGTGCCCTTGACTGGAATCGAACCTGGGACCCCTTAGTCCATAGGCTGACGCTCTATCAACTGAGCCAAGCCGGCCAGGGCTATAATAATCATTTAAACACTTAATAGATATGCAATAAAGTCTATGTTTTTTTTCTCTGTCACTCCTACGCTATGTGAGATAATCATTATTAATTTGGTGTACATCTTTCCATACTTATCCAATGCTCATATAAATATCTATACACATCAGACTTTTAAATTTTTATTTACAAAAATTATACATATTACTAAGTAACTTGTTTTTATAAAACTTAATTATAAATAACTCTTAGATGAAGAATATAAAATCTTACTCTAACTCTATATATCAGGGTTCAACCAGAGAAGCATAACCAATAGGAAATTATTAAGACATTTTTATAAGGAATTACCTTATATGATTGTGAATCCTGGCTGAGCAACTCCAAAATTGTAGGGGAAGGCTGTCAGGAATGACAGATCATGGGCAGGCTTGAACTCATGGGCATAGGCCAAAGCTGTCATCTATAGACAGGAACTCATGAGGATTAAACTCATGTAGTCAAATACATGGACTAAAATTGTGAGGCAGAATTTCTTATCTCTCAGATGGGGGAGACCTCAGCTCTGCTTTTTTTTTTTTTTTTCTTTCTTTTTCAATGGTAATAAGAACTACCATGAACTTGATGTTCTTAAAATTTTTTTAAGTGCATGATATAAAGCTCCACAACCAGTGTTGTGTAGCAAATCTCATCTTATCTAATAAAAGAGTAATATGCAAATTGACCATCATTCCAAGACACAAGATGGCTGCTTTCATGTGGTCAAATATGGCTTCCCCCATTTGGACACAAGATGGCCACCACAAGATGGCTGGAAGGGGAGGGCAGTTGTGGGCAGTTGGTGACCAGGCCAGCAGAGGAGGGCAGTTTGGGGGGACCAGGCCAGCAGGTGAGGGCAGTCGGGGGGACCAGGACTGTAGGGGAGGGCAGTTGGGGTTGATCAAGCCTGCAGAGAGTGCAATTAGGGGTGACCAGGCCAGCAGAGGAGGGCAGTTGGGGGAGACCAGGCCAGCAAGGTAGGATAGTTGCGGGGGGGCGACCTGGCCTGCAGGGTAGGGCAGTTAGGGGGAGGGAAACCCAGGCCTACAAGAGAGCACAGTTGGGGCAGAGGGGACCAGGCCTGCAGGGGAAGGCAGTGTGGGCGATCAGGCCAGCAGGGAGGGCAGTTAGGGGTGACCAGGCCAGCAGAGAAGGGCAGTTGGAGGGGAACAGGCCTGCAGGGGAGGGCAGTTGGTGGGGAGGAGGACTAGGCCTGCAGGGGAGTGAAGTTTAGGATAACCAGGCCTGCAGGGGAGGACAGTTAGGGGTGATAAGACTGGCAGGGCAAGGCAGTTAGGGTGACCAGGCCTACAGGGGAGGTCAGTTAAGGGCAATCAGGCTGGCTAAGGAGCAGTTAGGGGTCGATCAGGCTGTCAACGGAATGGTTAGGGGGTGATCGGGCTGGCAGGCAGAAGTGGTTAGGGGCAATCAGGCAGAGGCAGGCGAGCAGTTGGGAGCCAGCAATCCTGGATTGTGAGAGTGATGTTCAACTGCCTGTTTAGGCCTAAATGGGTGGTCTGACATCCCTCAAGGGGTCCCAGATTGGAGAGGGTGCAGGCTGAGCTGAGGGACACCACCCCCTGCACAAATTTCATGTACCAGGCCTCTAGTATCTTATATAAAGGGAACTTTATACATATTCTCCAGAAACTCTTCATTTCCCCTATAGCCAGCCTCTTGGAATTATAATTTTATTCTGTGCATTTATGAGTTTGACCTCATATTTAATTTATATACCTAACTAGTAGCCCTGTTCATGAATCTGTGCATCAGTAGCTCTCTGCAGGGCAGGCTGCTCCACACCTGCTGTCCACAGGCTCTCCATAGCCCAGAGGCTCATCTGCGGCTGAACACGGAACACTTGCCTCGTCACATTCTGTGCACTGTCTTGGCCAGAGGCCCATGCGAGGCCGGGTATGGAACACTTGGCTCATCACCACGGCAAAGAAGCAAGCATTCCGCCAGACCACTCACACTGCCTGCTCTCAGCAGCTGCCCCCTCCAGGACTGGGGAACTCCAGTAGGGCTGAGAGGACTGGGCACCACCATCTTGTGGCTTTGGGTGCCACCATCTTTGTGACAGAGTGACGATTAATTTGCATATCACCCTTTTATTAGATAAGATCTAAAAAATCATGCTATATTAGTCCTTTTGTGACTGCCATATTTCACTTACCATAATGTCCTATAGGTTTATCTATATTGTTACATATGGCAGAATTTCCTTCCTTTTTGGTATTACACCGAATGTATATGCCATGTTATTTTATCCATTCATCTATTTATGGACATTTAATTTGTTTCTATATCTTGGCTATTGGGAATAGTGCTGCAATCAACATGTGAGTACAGATATCTCTTCAAGATCCTTATTGTAATTATTTTGGATATATATCTAGAAGTGGGATTACTAATCATATGATTGTTCTTTTTTTAATTTTATTAAGAACTTCCTTACTGTTTTCCATAGTGACTAAAGCATTTTAATTCTGAAAGGTGTTCCAGTTTATCCACATCCTTGCCAATACTTACCTTTTTTATTTTTTTTATTTTTTATAACAGCTATCCAAACAGGAGTGACATAATCTCTTATGGTTTAAACTTAAATTTCCAAATGTTGAGAATCTTTCCATATACTTGTTAGCCATTTGTATGGCTTCTTTGAAGATATGTCTATATAAGCCCATTTTTAAAATCTAGTTATTTTGGGGATTTTTTGTTTTTGTTTTGGGGTTTTGTTTTTGTTTTTGTTTTTTTTTGTTTGCTTTTGTTTTGTATTTTTGATGTTTTTGTGATTGTTTCACATAGAAGTGCCTCATATGTGGAAATTAACACACTTTTAGATATAGTTTGAAAATATATTTTCTTCCATTCCATAGGTTGCCTATTCATTCTGTTGTTTCTTTGCTATACAGAAATATTTTAGTTTGATGTAGTCATACTTGTCTGCTTTGCTTTGTTGCCTATGTTTTTGGTGTAATTTTCAAGAAATCATGGCCAAGATCAATGCCAAGCTTTTCCCCTGTTTTCATATAAGACTTTTACAGTTTTAGGTTATACAGTTAAGTTTTCAGTCCATTTTGAATTTATTTTCATGTATGTAGAAGGTAGGAGATCAGTTTCATTCTTTTGCATGTGGGTATCCATCCAGTTTTTTCAGCACCATTTTTTGAGAAAAGGATCCTTTCCCCATTTTGTATTGTTGGCAACTTTGTAAAAGATATAGTGGTGGCATACACACACATACACACACACACACACACACACACACACACACACACACACGTGTGAACCAGTGCAAGAAATTCATGCACGTGAAAAGGGGATTAATTAGAGGAAATATTTTAATATTCCTATTTGCCCTTTTTCTATAATAGAAGTGTCAGAAATGAAAGAAAATTAGTAAAATGTATATGAAAATCTTCTTCCTGTCAGAGTCTGGGGTGCACCATGGGACCCACAGTCAAGGCCCTTCCCACCCACTTGTGCCTCACAATTGCATGAGAACCAGAACCGCCCCTCCCTCCACCCCAGTTGGGCTAGATACAGACCCAGCTGATCCCACCCTTGTTAAGCCCTGTTTGGTGGGGTGTGAAGCCTCAGGTCCCCTGGCCTGGCACTAGGTGGGGGCATGGCCTGAGGCCCCCAGCCTTGGTGAGGTGGGGGCACTCCTTGAGGTCCCCCTCAATCCCCACCAGGTGAGGGATGTAGCCTGAGATCCCCTATGAAACCCCTCTTGGCAAGGGCATGGCCTAAAGTCCCCTGTTAAGCCCTGCCAGGCAGGGGATGTGCCTTGAGATCCCCTATCAAGCCCTGACAGGCAGGAGCCACAGCCTCAGGTCCCCCCGCCCAGTGCCAGGAGGGGCACAGCCTCTGTTGAGCATCTGCCCCTGGTGGTCAGTGTGTTTCATAGCTACTGGCCGGTTGTCTGATTGCTTAGGCTTTTATATATATAGATTAGTTTTAGGTGTACAGTATAGTGATTAGACACTTAAATAACTTACAAAGTGATCCCCCTAATATTACAAGTACCCATATGATACTATACATAGTTATTACAGTATTATTTACTATATTTCCTATGGTGTACTTTTACATCCCCATGACTATTTGTGACTACCAATTTATACTTCTTAATTCCTTCAGCTTTTTCACTTTAAAATATATATATTTTTTTTGTAGAAATAGAAAAAATTCCTAAAATTCATGTAGAAACCCCCCCCCAAAAAAAAACAAAAACCCATAATAGCTAAAAGAGAACAGAGCTGAAGGCATCACACATCCTGATTCAAAATATATGCCAAAGCTACAGTAATTAAAATAGTATGGTGCTGCCTTCACTGGTGTCACTCAGTTGGTTGGGCATCTTCCCATTCAACAAAGGATTGATTCCCAGTCAGGGCACATGCAGGGGTTGCAGACTCAATGGGAGGACAGGGGGTGGAGGATGAAGATGATTGATGTTCTGCTCTCACATCCATGTCCCTCTTTCTCCCTTTCTCTTCCTCTCCCTCTAAAAATCAATAAAAATATTTTTAATTCCTTTATTGATTAAGTTATTACATATGTGTCCTTATTACCCCATTACCCCCCCCATGCCAAAGGACTTATATGAATGCATATAAGCCTAATCAATGGACACAGACAACAGGGGGGTAAGGGCAATAAAAATATTTTTAAAAAACAGTATGGTACTGCCATAAAGACAGATATATAAACCGAGGAAATAGGATAGAAATCTTAGAAATAAATGTATACATATAAATCAACATATCTTCAACAAATGTGCCAAGACTACAAAGTTAGGAAAGGATGTTTAAAAAACAAACAAACAAAACAACAAAAAAACAACAACAACAAATAAAAAATACGGTGCTGGAAAACTTGATATAAACATGCAAAAAAGTGAAATCAGACCCAAGGGTAATACCTTGTTAACTTTTGAAGCCCTGGTCAAGGAGCTCAGTTGATTAGAGTGTTGTCCTGATATGCCAGGGTTGCTGGTTTGATCCCCATACAAGAATCAACCTATTAATGCATAAATAAGTGGAACAACAAATCAGTGTTTCCCTTTCTTTGTCTCTCTTCCTTCCTCTCTCTCTAAAATCAATAAGTAAAATTTTAAAATAAAGACTTTTTATATGTCTTGCCAAAATTTCTCTTCCAGGTACATACTAATATTTACATTTAAGAAAGGTCTATGTTTCTCTTAAAAATAATGTGTTTTTATTTTCCTAGGCTTTGAAATTTCTGAAAATCAGAAGAGGCAGGCTGCAATGACTGTGAGAAAAGTCTCTAAACAAAAAGGTAAAATCTGCCTTTTATCAACACTCCTCCCACCCCACTTTATTCCACCCCTACCCCATCATTCACTCTCTTTATAAGAATGGAAAGCCATAGGCTATGTGTTTTCATATTCCTAGGCTTATTTCCATGGTGGAGAGTTTCTGGATTCCCGTGTGTCCCTATACATAGAAAATGTTCTTGAAGGTTTAAATCTGAGGAATGAAGAGTATAAGGTACTTATGTCCAGAGATAGCTCATCAGGTACAGGGAAAAAAAATAGAACCTTTTTAATTTTTATTTTTACTTAAACAAATGAGAGAGAGAGACTAAACTTTACTAAAAATTTAAAGACTGGTGGGCAATAGAAAATGTGTCTAATTTATAAGTGTAAGGGAAATGTGCAGAATTTTCTTTCATTGTTTTGGAGATATTTGGTAAATAAAGAATCCCAAATCAGAATGAAGAGCTTCAAATTGAATCAAAAATATTCAAATATTCATTTTCTCTTTCTCTGAACTGTAAACTAAAAGTATTTACAAAAGAAAAAGACACTGAAAATAAATTAGAATATGAAATGAAGCTCTATTTTCTCATTTTTATGAACTAGACAGAATTGAAATGCTTAGTTGAATAAAGGAGAGGAACTACCCTCTGTTTATTTTAGAGTCTATTCAATCCCAGTCATTTTACGTAAATTCTTTCCTTTTTATGGCACCCTTAAAAAGGTAGGCATTGTTAGCCAAATTTTCTAGATGAGGAAACTGAGGATCGTCTGGTTGAAGTGACTCTGAAAATAAGTCAGCTTTACTATAAGTCCCCTTCTCTTTCTTCTCCACCTAAGGGGCCTGATGATTTTCCATTTTGAGGAAGAAAGCTGACTTTTTTTGGTATCACTTCAATTATCAACAAATGCTTCTGTTACTGATAAGATTGCCCAGGGGTGAGCAATCTTAGACCTCAGTTTCCCCAGGCCATTCCTTCTGCTTTCTCAGTGAACTATTGTTCAGAATTAGTCACCATACAAAATGATCAGATTTAAGTTGCATGAAATTCCAACAGTCACAGAAAGCACCCCTAACTACTCCTAATGACACTGTTTTTTTCATTGAGGAAGCTGGGTGCCTATGTATATCTGATTTCCAATTAAGCAGTGTACCCAGATGGAGGCCCTCTATCTAGACATGACAGTCCTTTTAACTGCTTATTGCTTTTTGCCCTTGGGAGAACCTCTTTCCCTCATCCTGCAAATGTGATTCTCTTTAGATTTGGAATTAAAGGCAACCACTTCTAACCTCTTGGGGGTGAAAAGTGAGGTATAATATTAGAAAGAATTCTGGAGTTACTGTCCACAAAGATATGATCTGTATGAATAGGAGAATCCTGTGAGGGAATATGCCCCTTCTTTAGACAGAGATATGAACAGAAAAGAGCCCTAGACAGGTGGAGAGTCCTCAGGGTACAAAGGGGCTACTGTCCTAGTAGCCTTTCTCTGTCTCCTATAGGCTCTTAGTTCCTGAGCTTCTCTCACTCTGACTTCCTTCACTGTCCTCAGCATACTAATCTTTGTGATGGGATGGTACCCCATTACCTTAGCCCAGATTCTCTGAAGCTTATCTGAGAATGGCTGGTTTTGTGACTAATAATCCTTAAAGCTTAGGAAAATCCACACAAGTCAAGTAACCAGAAAGCAGTCCTCAGTCATACCAAGCTTTTGTGTAAGTTTTCTTACCACCTGTCTAGTGTCAACCTATACCATTCAGTCCCTCTCTTATATACCAATATATAAACACTGGTTCACTTGAACAGCTTTCCACCTTTAAAAGCAACCTTAAAGACTTAAAATAAACTCAGCTAGTTTCAAATATCCCAGAATTCTTACAAATCTCTTATTTCTACTTCTAGTCTTCAAGACTCTTCTAGTCCAGGGCTGTGGTGACTCATATATTTTGTGACTCAAAGTGAAAGTAGTTATCAAACTTAGTAATATTAGTTATATAATATATATGGGAATAGCAAGGTAGTCCTTTTAGATATCAATAAAATATAGCTTCCTTACCATTCCAATGACCCTTTCCTGAAAGTGATGGGGAAGAATTATTATTAAGATTTTTCCAATGTAATGTAATTGGATAGGTAATTATTCTAGTTTCTCTTTGCAACCCCATCTGTAATGCCACGGGATTTTAAAGAGTGAAATAAGCCTATGTGAATTACGGGATAAAATTAAGAGAAACAATCTATGAAATATTGGTGTCCCTTAAGTAGAAGAGAGGAGGGGAAATGGGCAGAAAATATAAAAGAAATAATGGATGAGATATTTCCAATTCTGAGTAGGTTCATGAGGCTTATTGGTTTCCAAACAATGACAACCCAAAATGATCTCCTCCAAGATACATTATAAAAAAGTTGTCAAAAATCAAATACAGTGGGAGAAGGTTAAAATTAGCAAGAGGGGGAAAAAAATCTTTGCATAGAAGGGAACCCACATAAGGCTATTATCAGATTTCTCCGCAGAAACCTAGCAACAAGGAAAGACTGGAGATTTTATATTCAAAGTGCTGAAAGAAAAAACTGCAACCATGAATTGTCTTACAAGAAATGCTGAAAGGAATTCTTCAAGCTGAAATAAAAGAACACTAATTAGTAACATGAAAACATATGACTATACACACACAAGTAAAAGTTGTGCATATAGTCTAATTCAGATTAATCTAATATTGTGGTATACTTAAATCTATTATAAATGACTAGAGACCCAGTGCACAAAATTTGTGCACTGGGGAGGGGTGGTCCTTAAACCCGGATTGCAAGAGGGCACAGCCACGCTGAGGAACCTCACCAGTGCACAATAGGGACTGGGGAGGGACGTGGGAAGTTGTTCATCCAAGGAAGAACCACGGGAGGGCTCCAGGGCATGTCTGGCCCCATCTTGCTAAGTCCTGATTGGCTGCAAGCTAACCTACCAGTTGGAGCATTTTCCCCCTGGTGGTCAGTGCATATCATAGTAAGTGGTTGAATTGCCTTAGCATATCATTAGCATATTTCACTTTGATTGGTTGAATGGCCGACCGGATGACTAGACACTTAGCATATTAGGCTTTTATTATATAGGATAAAAGACAATGGATTAACATACCTATAGGTAAAAGTATATGTTAATAGATATCAATAAAAAGATGTAAACTGTGAAATCAAAAACATAAAATGTGGAGTGAAGTATAGGGGTAGAATTTTTATATATGGTCAAAGATGATTTATCAGCTTAAAATAGCCTATTGTAACTATGGAGAAAAGAATACCACTATGGAAAATTATCAATTCATACAGGAAAGTAGCAAAAGAGGAAGAAATGAACAAAGGAACTATAAGACAGACAGAAAGTAATTTAGATGGAAATAATAATGCCTTACCTATTAATAATTACTTTAAATGTAAAGGGGTAAAATTCTCCTATCAATACACATACAATGGCTGAATAAATAAAAGTATAAAACCAGACACAACTGTACACTGCTTACAAAAGAATCAGTTCACCATTGAAAACACACATAGACTTAAGAGTGAAGATATAGAAAAAGGTATTCCATGCAAGTGTAAATCAAAAGAGAGCAAGGGTAGTTATACTAATATCAGAGAAATAGACAATAAGTTAAAAACTGTCACAAGAGACTAAGGTCATTATATGATGATAAAAGGGTAATTTCTCAAGAAGACATAACAGTTGCAAATATATATGTGCTCGACATTGGAGCACCTAAAAATATTAAGCAAATACTAACAGATCTGAAGGAAGAAGCAGACAATGATATAATAATAGTAGGAGATTTAAATACCCTACTTCAGCAATTGATAGATTACCAAGACAAAAATAATTGTGAATATTGTACTAGTATAATAATATATCTAGACTACATGAACCTAAAGAACATTCCATGCAACAGCAGAAGGTTTCCTGTTTCTATAAAGCATACATGCAACATTCTCCAGGACAGCATGTGTTACATCATAAAACAATTCAGCAAATTTAAGAAAACTGAAATAATATCAAATAACTTTTCCAACCAAAGTGATATGAGACTAGCTGGAAAATTCACAAATATGTGGAAATTAAACAACACATGAATGAATAGCCAATGGGTCAAAGAAGAAATACAAAAATATGACATGAATAAAAATGGAAACACAATATACCAAGAGTTATGGAATATAACAAAAACTGTTTTAGAAGGGATGTTTATACCCATAAATGCCTAAACTGAAAAACAGAGAAATATTTCAAATAAACAGCCAGACTTTTTACCTCAAGGAACAAGAGAAAGAATGAAAGGCATAAGCCCAAATTTAGCAGGGGGAAAAGCATGAAATAAGGACCAGAGAAGACAAAAATGAGAGAGGGACTTAACAACAATAGAAAATATTGATGAAATTAAGAGCTGGTTGCCAAGACCAGTTTGGCTCAATGTATAGAGCGTCGGCTTGGGGACTGAGGGTCCTGGGTTCGATTCCGGTCAAGGGCATGTACCTTGGTTGCGGGCATATCCTCAGTAGGGGGTGTGCAAGAGGCAGCTGATCGATGACTCTCTCTCATCGATGTTCCTAACTCTCTACCTCTCTCCCTTCCTCTCTGTACAAAATCAATAAAATATATTTTTTTAAAAAAAGAAAAAAAAATTAAGAGCTGGCTTTTTGAAAAAACAAAGACAACTGATAAAACTAGGTTTATTAAGAAAGAAAGAGAAGATTCAGATAAAATCAGAAAGTAAACAGAATATAGTACAAATTATACCACCGAAATAAAAATAATTATAAAAGGATACTAGGTCAACTATACACTGACAAATTAGATAATCCTACCTAATAAAAGAGTAATATGCAAATTAACCATCACTCCACTTCACAAGCCATGCCAACAAAGCCACACCCACAAGCCAATCAGAGTGAGTATGCAAATAAACCCAACCAAGATGGCTATAGCCACAGAGAGCAGAAGGGAGGTGTTTCCCTGGCAACGGAGGATGCCA